GGCATTCTCTGAGAGATATTATGAACAGTCACCTCAAATTCTTGTGAATAAGGATGCTGCTCTTCTACTATCATATTCACTTATAATGCTCAATACAGATCAGCACAATGTTCAAGTGAAAAAGAAGATGACGGAAGAAGATTTCATTCGGAATAGCAGGCACATAAATGGAGGCAATGATCTTCCAAGAGATTTCCTCTCTGAATTGTATCACTCAATCTGTAAGAATGAAATTCGTACAACTCCGGAACAAGGCAATGGTTTTCCTGAAATGACCCCAAGCCGATGGATAGATCTGATGCATAAATCCAAGAAATCCTCTCCATTCATTGTTTCTGATTCTAAAGCCTACCTTGATCGTGACATGTTTGCTATAATGTCAGGGCCTACAATTGCTGCTATATCTGTGGTATTTGATCATGCAGAACATGAAGAAGTGTATCAAACATGTATTGATGGATTCTTGGCTGTTGCAAAGATCTCTGCATGCCATCATCTTGAAGATGTACTCGATGATCTTGTTGTGTCCCTCTGCAAGTTCACAACCCTCTTGAACCCATCATCTGTTGAGGAGCCCGTGCTGGCCTTTGGTGATGATACAAAAGCTAGGATGGCTACTATGACAGTTTTCACCATCGCCAACAGGTATGGTGACTTCATTCGCACAGGTTGGAGAAACATCCTTGATTGCATCTTACGGTTGCACAAGCTTGGTCTTCTACCAGCTCGTGTGGCCAGTGATGCAGCTGATGAATCAGAACTTTCTGCTGACACTGGGCATGGAAAGCCTCTTACGAGTTCTTTATCTGCTGCTCATATACAGTCGATTGGAACTCCCAAGAGATCCTCTGGATTGATGGGCCGGTTTAGTCAGCTCTTATCTCTTGACACTGAGGAGCCAAGGTCACAGCCTACCGAACAACAGCTTGCTGCTCATCAGCGCACCCTTCAGACTATTCAGAAGTGCAATATTGACAGCATTTTTACAGAGAGCAAGTTTCTTCAGGCTGAATCTCTATTACAGCTGGCACAAGCACTCATATGGGCTGCAGGACGGCCCCAGAAAGGAAACAGTTCTCCTGAGGATGAAGATACTGCAGTCTTCTGTCTGGAATTGTTGATTGCCATTACTCTGAATAACCGAGATAGAATTGTGCTTCTTTGGCCAGGTGTTTATGATCACATATCTAATATCGTGCAGTCAACTGTCATGCCCTGTGCCCTGGTGGAGAAAGCTGTTTTCGGACTTCTCCGTATCTGCCAGCGGTTGCTTCCTTATAAGGAGAACCTTGCAGATGAACTTTTGAGATCTCTGCAACTTGTATTGAAGCTAGATGCTCGGGTTGCTGACGCATACTGTGAGCAAATTACACAGGAAGTAAGTCGCCTAGTAAAAGCAAATGCTTCTCATATTAGATCCCCATCAGGATGGCGAACAATAACATCCCTACTCTCGATTACAGCTCGCCACCCAGAAGCATCTGAGGCAGGATTCGATGCGCTACTATTCATTGTATCTGATGGTGCTCACTTGTTACCAGCAAATTATACCCTCTGCATAGATGCCTCGAGGCAATTTGCTGAGTCTCGTGTTGGACAGGCTGAACGCTCTTTACGTGCATTGGATCTTATGGCTGGATCTGTTGATTGTTTAGCGCGGTGGGCTAGGGAGGGTAAGGAAGCTGCTGCAAGGGAGGAGGAAGCCATTAAAATGTCGCAAGATATTGGAGACATGTGGCTGAGGCTTGTGCAAGGATTGAGAAAAGTTTGTTTGGACCAAAGAGAGGAGGTTAGAAACCAGGCTCTACTGTCATTGCAAAAGTGTTTGATAGGCGTTGATGAAATCCACCTTCCACACGGTTTGTGGTCACAGTGTTTCGATCTTGTGATCTTCACGATGCTCGATGATTTACTTGAAATTGCACAAGGACACTCTCAGAAGGATTACAGAAACATGGAAGGGACACTGATCCTTGCCATGAAACTCTTGTCCAAAGTTTTCTTACTGTTGCTCCAGGATCTTTCTCAGTTAACAAACTTCTGCAAGCTATGGCTTGGTGTTCTTAGCCGAATGGAAAAGTATGCAAAAGCAAAAGTTAGAGGGAAAAGAAGCGAAAAGCTTCAGGAGCTAGTCCCTGAACTCCTCAAGAATACCTTGCTTGTTATGAAAACCAAGGGGGTGCTAGTTCAGAGGAGTGCGTTAGGTGGAGATGGCTTGTGGGAACTCACATGGCTGCATGTAAATAACATCTCTCCCTCGTTGCAATCAGAGGTTTTCCCCGATCAAGATTCCGACCACATACTTGGTCAGGGTGAAAAAGGCGGCGTAACTTCCAGTGAAGCGAATCCTGTTTCTTCGACCGAAAAGGTAGCATCAGACAGTGCTGGAACTGGAGGGTAGTGTTATTCAGTTGGAAAATCAACTTGTTTCTGCTAGTGATGTTGCTATGCATATACTTGACCATCAGGACTAAAAAATTGTGTAGAATTAGTCTGTACCACATCCAGATTATCTTAAATTTACAGAAGGGATGATAGGGCATATCTATACTGCACTGGAGCTTGCTTTGTTTACAGATCTGTACAATTAGATGGAGGTTATGAAGTGAAAGCGTGTTCGAGACCCCAGGAACACTAACGAACTTTCGGGCGTTCATCGTTCCGGTAAGACGTTTCTTCCTGATCACAGAGTTCCCAGAGTTAAAATTGGCTCATTCTAAATGAATGTTGTTTGTTAGTGTTATACGTATCGTACAACTAGGCATAGATTTCAATCTCGTCAACTTTTTTTTCTTTTCTTTCTTTTTCTGTTGACATTCCGAATTCTGGAGGCGTATTATCATTCATCCTTGAATGAAGGCGTGTACTTATTATTGTTTTGTATTACCTTGCTGAGTAATGTACAGAATCAAGAAGTTTGTCAGTAATCTCTTGATATGATCATCTAGTATGTTGCTTTAGATAATTTAGGGCATGTTTTGGTAATGTTTCGGTTTATTGTTTCTCGTTTTCAATTTTTTTAAGAAATCTAAGCGTTTGCAACTAATTATGATTCTTGTTTCTCCTTTTTTGGGAACATTTCCGAAATTGTACAGAAATTTTAAAATCAACCAAAACAAGTTTATTATTTCTCGATCCTATTTCTAGTTTGTTCCAAAACATAAATAGAAAGATTGTTTTATCATACTTGGATTAATGGATATTGGGCTATGTAATTTTTTTTTAATGATAAATGAAGAAACAGAAACAAGAAATATGAATGTCACCAAACGAGTTCTTAGATGCCAGGCGGAGTTGAATCGAGGGGGAAATATGATAGATGAGGAGTAACTATCGTTATTTAGTGCTGACTTTCTGTCATGGTTTTAAATATTCGTTGACATTTCCATCGACATATTCATGTTTTCATAAGTTCGACATCAACATGAGAGGAAATCGACATTTACAAAATATGAAAAATATTAACAAAATGTCACTAATATATACATAATATTTATTTTTAACTAATTTAGAAATAGGAAAATGTTTATTTATTCATTTAAATATTTTTTACGTTTTTTTTTTATTTTTCTAACTTTTATAGAAATATTCATCGATATCGACATTTTCATGAAATTGAGACCTCGACATTTTTATCGACATTTAAAACCTTGCTTTCTGTGCTAGATTTTTTTTTTGGGTCTAATTTGGCAAAAATGAAATCACTTCAAATCACGCTAGGGTAAGAACGTTTGGTTTCTTTCCTCTTTCTTATGTTTTTAACCAATATTTTATTTTAGGTTAAAATACTATTTTAATATCTATACTTTCAACTTTGATTCATCTGGATCATTATTGTACTCTTAACTTATCTATTTTAGTCCTGTGCTTTTAAAATGTTCGTTTTGGTTCCTATACTTTTAAAAAGTAATTGTTTTGGTTCCTTTATTTTATTTTTATCTCAATGTTTTCGATCACAATTTCAACATGACACTATACCCGATCTATTTTTTTAAAGGTAGCATTTCTTTATTTTTCTTTTTTAGTTGTATATAGAATTTGTATCAAAATATTTCAAATAGAGACGAGAATGATCACTTTTTAAAAGTAAGACCAAGACAGATCTTTTAAAAGTAGAGAGATAAAAATGAACTAAAATTCAAATTCAAATCACCAAAATAGTTTATGATCTTATCCGAAGAAAATCTATTTCCATAGATTATGGGTTCTTGAGTTCATAAAAATTAATATTTTACTTCTAAGAAGGTATTAGCCTAAGTAGAGGACTGTTGTACAAAATATACATATATATATATACAGTGGGGATTTGGATTACCTTATGACTTTGTTCATTTGAAATAAGAAGGGTTCTGAAAACTTGTGGAGCAGCCTGTATTACTATACTCATGCCTAAGAGAATAATTTCTTTTTAAAACAATTTTACTTCTATATCATTCATGACATTAGTAAATTAAATTTTTATGTGAATATTAACTTGATATTTGATAAAGAATCTTAATTAAATCTTAACTGTATAAACTAAATTGTATATAAAACGAAATCCTTACTTATAGTAAATTAAATTTATTAGGTGGTATATGAGCATAAAAGATGGTTGGTAGCTAACATGAGACTAGCTCGATGACACTTGTCTCTAACTATGGAGTCATGATTTCAAATTCTCCGCTTAGAGATGTAATTGGTCAATAATGATTTAGGTTTAATTTTACACAACTTCTTGAATAGTTTTTTCATTTTTAAGAACACATTTAAGTTTTTATCCAAATTTCACAAATTTTTTAATTAAATTAAAAAACTATTTTTTCTTCTTATGTTGTCCAAATTTTACTTAAATTTTGGAAAAAATATATATATTTTTTAAAATGGCAAGCTACGAATTGACAAAGCAAGCCTTAATTACAACAATTATAATATTGGAATGATTTATTTTATTTTATTTTATTTTTATTTTTTGTCGGTAGCCGGTAATTACTTCAGCAACAGCGGAGAGAATTTAGGTGGCTGCACTTCACCAACAAACGTCTCTTACGTTTCCGATTTCCGATCTGCCAAATTTCGCCGGCAAATTTTTCCGGCCAAAAGTCGCCGGACAAAGTCAAAGAAAGCTTCTCTTAGCCTTCCCCAAGGGGCCGGTCTCGGTCTGTCAAGATGAGTCAGGTCTTCGAAGGTTACGAGCGCCAATATTGTGAACTCTCCGCGAATGTTTCTCGTAAATGCAACTCTTTCTCCGCCTCCGATTCAGGTACTGTCCCATGATTTTCTTCTCAATTTTAAATTTCTGTAAGGGTTACCCGTGGCTTGCTTTACCTGCTTCAACGCAGTTCCAACCCCAATTTTTTTAATTTGGTGGCTGATTTGAGGGAAAAGAGATGGAGAGTGAAAATTTGGAAGTTACGTTTTGTTCTGTTGCGAGAATTTTGAAGAGGGTTCTTAGAATTGTGGTTGGAGATCTCGAATTGGGATTTGGATGAGCAGATGGTGATATTTCTAATCGGATCGAATTATGCATATGGGGAATTTTAATATTTCTTGCTAATGTTTCGAGTTGTTTATTATGAGGTTGCAAGCAAGATGACTTAAATGTTCAAGATTGGATTCTATGAAAATAATGTTGAATTTGTCATCGTTTGAAATGTGAACAATTGGAATGGGTACTAATTTTAGCTCAACGTGAATTGCAGAGCAGAAACAGCAACGGGTTTCTGAAATCAAAGCGAGTTTAGATGAGGCTGATGTTTTGGTACGTTTGAAGAGCCTTGTTTTGGTTTTAATCTTATCACTTTTTTCTTTTCATTTTAGGTTGGTTAGATTCTTGATGATATACATAAAAATGTAATATCTTATTGATTTCTAGATTCGGAAAATGGACCTTGAGGCCAGAAGTCTGCAGCCAAGTGTAAAGGCTATGCTACTTGCTAAGCTACGGGAGTACAAATCTGATCTTGGCAAACTGAAAAAGGAATTTAAGAGGTTGACATCACCTAATGCTGATCAGGCTGCCCGTGAAGAGCTGTTGGAGTCTGGAATGGCAGATACTCATTTGGTATATCTTCATTATTCAATTTTTACAGTTTCCTTTAAATTTAAGCATCACAAAGTATTTCTCCTTAATGGATCCTGAGTTGATTAAGTGTGTGTCACTTACCTTTTAAAGTGCTCATTGATTATTAGAAGTACTTTCTTAAAAATTAGCAGTATTCGGTTAAAATTTTAAATGAGTACTTTTGACCAAAGTAGTTTTAGAAATTCTAAAAATAGATTAAAAAAAGTATTTTACTTTTGGATGAAACATTGAACTGCACAGTGTTTCACTTAAAAAAACTTTTTTTTTTTCAAAAGGAATGTCAAACACACGCGAAGGTGGAAATCAAATTGACGGAAGAGACCAGTGGTTGAAATTTTTTTATCTTAGTGCATCTATACGAAATGTTCAAAGATTTTGGTTATTTTGATAGTGTATATTGATAGGATTGCTATTAGGATAGATTAAGGATATTGTTAGGGTATTAAGGATATATTGGTATTTGTGTTAGGAGGTTTAGTTATAAATAGAGGGAGGAGGAAAGGATGAAGGTAAGCAATTAGTGAGTATGGTTTAGGCTTGAGTAAGAATACTCAAGAGAGGGGAGGGTCCAAGTACCTCGAATTACTTGGTAGTTATTATAGTTTTTATATCTTTTAAGCAACTTTGGTTAAGTTAAGACACTAGTAATTTTCCACATCATACATTCAAATCTCCACTCCATCCGTTTGAATTGTAATACTAAAAGAGAAAGTGACGTATATCATTAATTTTTTTTTTTTTTAGTACAACATGTTGAGAAGGGGATTCGAACTGACAACCTCTTGGTTGGAGGTATATGTCAATTACCGTTGAGCTATGCTCGTTTTGGCACGTATATCATTAAGTTCTTCAAACAAAGTGTTACTGTATTTTGTAGGTAATTCACCTTTTTTTTTGTTTGGATAAGAAACTTTGTACCCTTAGGCTGTTTTTTGTGTTTCTATGCTTTTGGTAATTCACCATTTTGATATGAACATCTTATTCAGTCTTTGTTTTTCTTCAATCACTCTTATGACTGAACTGATGATGGTTTCTTAGCTTTGTAGATAGTCTTATCTTTTCCCATTCAATTTATTTTTCAATGGTTGTTGGCTTTTTCGTCTCAATAACTAGCGCAATATTGTGTTTCTTGAGTTATTATTAATTGGAGTTGAGGCGCTGGATGCCTTCTGTTATACGACTTCATGTTGGATTCTCATCATTGGATCAATCCCATATGTATTGTATAGCACTAGTAGCATTGAACCGAATTTATAAGTGTAGGTATAGTGTAGGTATTTGCCATTTGATAATTTTGAATAATTTGTCATTTGATATAGTGTAGGTATTTGTCTCGCCTAGGTGTAATTGACCATTTTTGCTAACTTAACTGACATTCTTACAGGCTTCAGCTGATCAAAGAGAGAGGATGACAATGTCTATAGAGAGAATGAATCAGTCAAGTGAAAGAATTGCAGAGAGTAGAAGAACCATGTTGGAGACCGAAGATCTCGGTGTCTCGATCCTTGAGGACTTGCATCAACAGCGAGAAACTCTATTACACTCCCATAAGAGAGTAAGTATTTTATTGATCTTATGTTCTAGCTGACTGTGACATCTCAGATATTTCCATGAATTTTTCATATGTCCACGACTTTATAAGTTCAACGTGGATGTAAGGAATGAACTGATATTTCCATTATACCATGAACAGAGTATGGAAAAGTTCAACAAAATATCAGTAACACAAACATACTAATCCATCGATATGGACACTTTATTGATATTTTGATTGAAATTTTCATGAAACTAAGATGTTAACATTTTTCGTCAACATCAATATTTAGAGTTCTTGCTAGTGAGTAAGGTCTTAGTCACACACCATTACACGAGTAAAATTTTATTTGATGCCGTTAGCATCCTTCAACTCATTCCATTCCTAACCCATTTTTCTCCCAATTGTCCTTGGGACAATGGTTAACAACGTGCTTTATTTTACAGCTTCATGGGGTAGATGATGCCATTGATAAGAGTAAAAGGGTTTTAAACTCAATGTCTCGAAGAATCAGTCGAAATAAATGGATAGTCGGGTCGGTAATTGGCGTTCTGGTACTCGTAATTATCCTTATACTATATCTTAAGCTTTCACATCACTGAACAATGTTTCCTTGATCACTAAAGGAGTTGTACTCTTATCATTTGATTTTCCAATCGTTCCGATTGGTTGTCGATCACATGTTTGATGTATTTTGTTGCGGTATTCATGTCTGTAATCGAATCAAATCTTGTGCTTGATAGTGTTATTGATTAATCAATACCCAGATAGTAGTAGGTATTTCTGGATTGTGTGAATTTGGTGGTTAGTTTCTCAATTTGCACTTGGGAAATCAGGAACCATTAGGGAACAAAATAAAGTTGAAAAATTACTAATCCATTGCTAATTTTCAATTTTTGTACTGCAAATTGCTGTTTTGGGAGTGGTAATTCTCTTTCATTCTGGGGAACGAACATATCATAGGGTGGTTGATTTTATATTTTGTTTTTACTTTTTAGAGAATGACAATTTTTCTAAACCTTGTGAAAGTAGTAGATTTTTTAAAGTTAAATAATGTCAATATGGTGTGACACAGGATTATTAAATACAAACTTTACTAAATTTGTTGTTCAAATTTTTTTTTTCATTTAAATTAACTTATAATATTTGAAATTTTGGAAGGTAGTGGGGCAATGAATGCAGAGCGATAGGCGAGGGAGAATTGGGTTCTGAAACAGACCATAACTTCTAGTAACGTTTACGTTTATTTTATTTGTTTTATACACAAACTTTACATTTTGACAATTACACATACGCTAAAACAACCATCTTTTTTTAATTTTATTTTTATTTTCCAACCAAGGCAACATTTATTTTGAGAGATGGGAGTGAGAATCAATTTTTTCATTTTTTGATGATATTTATCAAATTATAGGAATGAAATCAAATGGTGGGGTTTATCCACTAACAATCTTTCTTTTAATAAAATTTATATGTGATTTTATTATAAAATATTACAAATTTATATTTTATATTTTACTTTGTTATTACTAACTAATTTTTTTTAAAATAATTTATTATTATTAAATATTATAACAATACATTTTAATATTATTTTATATTAAACATGGTGGTTCTAATCAAAATGTATTTTAGTTGACGTAACTTTGTTTTAATTATTCATTATTTATTAATACTAAATAAATTGTTTCAATAAAAGATATTTGTTATCAATAATTCTGTAATAAAGTAAAATAAAATTTATTATTATTGTAATTAAAAGGGTTGTCAATGCATTTGTAATTAGCTTGAAAGAAGAAAGAAGCATACTAGTAATTGTTACATATCTAATTCTGATTTCGATTCGAGACAGTTTTAGTAAACCACGTCAAAGGAATTTTGATTCCGATTCCATAAAACTTTTGGTAAACAACATCAAGACAATAACATTTTCATTTCGATTTATTTTCATTATGATTAACTTTCATTACAATTCCTAGTAAGTAAACAGGACCTAATTAAGTTTTATTCGTCAAAGCGAGCATAGCTCAACGGTAATTGACATATACCTCCAACCAAAATGTTGTAATTTCGAATCTCCTCCCCAACATGTTGTACTAAAAAAATAATAATAAATTTTCTTATTTTTTTAATAAAAAAAGAATTAATAAATAACAAGAGATAGCTATAAAATATATTTGTACCTTTATGAATAAAAAAATATGAAACAAAAAATGAAAACATTCTCAAACGAGTTCTAAATCTTATTTGATCTTGATTGTACCTACCCACTTCATTTTTGTTATAAATTTGTAATGATTTAGTTTGGTAAAAGAGGAGAGGTCTGAACTGTTATCGGAATATTTGCTTGAGCTACTAGTGGTATAGTTATTATAATAAAAAAATCTCATTATTACAGTTGAATTATCAAACATTATTCAAACAAAAATTACACATTGTCGTTCAAAATACTACCTCATATCTCATTTCGACTATATCTTCTTCTGGTAAACATATGGAATTCGATATATGAATTCGCATCCTTTTGGTTGGGGCATAGGTGTTGTTTATGCAAGGATATGCACAACAGTGTATTTCAGATTGCAGCTCGAACTCGGCCTCCGGACCGATCTGAATACTTGGGCGGACCTGCACAAAAAGGTGAGCACTCCGACGATCAAGTCAGTACAGGTCGGATTCCTAGTTTAGTTCGAGGTCAGAAATCATCGTACCTGATCGTGGAGTGAGGTCCTCTACTTATGGGTGGTAGTCCCGCTAATCTCGCGACGGTTACACCCGGCAATCTCGGGACCGTCGGTTACACCCGGTAATCTCGGGACCGACGGTTACACCCGATAATCGCGCCGCTGACAGTAGCTCACATCGGCCCCTACCGAGCTTCCCGGTAGG